TCAAAGCCAGCAAGAAGGCGAGGATTAAAAGGGAAGGAAATTCTTTTATCCCACACCAGACTCTTCTTCCAATGTGCTTTGTCAGAGGGCTTCAGGTTCCTTATAAGTGTCGGTGGATGAATCCCGATTGAGGCAGCGATGCTCTGCTTCTTCTGAGCTATGCTGCCTTTTCCTCCTCTCATCCACTTTGCACCGCCTGCGTCTCACTTTTCTCCTTAGGCCTCGTGACTCAATTCCTTAGGGGCACAAATCTTCACTGGACCTTGCCCCAGGGGATCTTGTTACATATTTCATGTAAATTCAACTGCTTTCTTATTACAAGTAAGATTTAGTTCTGTTTTTCTTCTGCATAGAGAGATTCAATACTTATAATCTAAGACAGTGGTCCCCAACCTTTTTGCGCCAGGGACTGTGTCATGAAAGGCAGCTGGCCCAGGGTGGAGAAAGTAGTTTCAGGATGACTCTCATAAAGAGCACACAACCTAGACCTCTCGCCTGCATGGTGCACAGTAGGGCTCCCACTCCTAAGAGAGTCTAATGCCACCAGCGATCTGACAGGAGGTGGTCCAATGTGGAGTGGCTGTAAGTGCAGATGAAACTTCCTTCCCTAGCCTGCAGCTCACCTCCTACTGTGCAGTCAGATCTCTAACAGACCACTGTCCAGCAGTGGTCCCTGGCCCAGGGGTTGGGGACCCCTCATCTAAGAAATCAGAGATGCCCAATTTTTTCCAGTTGCCAAAGAGAAGTATGAATATTTACCAAACAGCATTCTCTTTGAAACATGCAGTAGCTGACCCTACTTTTTAAGTAAGCCCACTAGATACAGCTCACTGTTAATCCGTGTGTGTGTGTGTGTGTGTGTGTGTGTGTGTGTATAATCACACCACACACAAAGCATCATGCTGACTATCTATGTGTTGACTTTCAGATACCATTTGCCCAGGGAAACTTTCTGGTTAAACATCTGGACACAAAGCAAAACTATATCAATACATCTGGAAGGAATGCTCCTTTGAGACGTTTAATAAATTATACTTCATTGTGTAATTATTCTTTATTGTTTCTTTCTCTCAACAAAAAGGAAGCTCCATAAGGGCATGCAGCACATGTCTTTGTTTTTGACATCAGCATATCTACTGAAAGTGTTAAATCTACACTTCTAATAAACACACAAACCAACTCAGCATAATGATAAGGAAAACAACATAAATGCCAAGAGTAGTACACATATATTAAGTAGATGTCTGTGTCAAAGCTCTGGTCTGGATGCTTGTATCCCCTCGGAATTCCATGTTTAAATTCTAACCCCCCAAACTAAGACATGGGGCCTTTGGGTGGTGCTTATATCACGAGGGTGAAGCCCTCACGAACGGGATTAGCACTCATCACAGAGACCCCACAGAGCTCCCTGCCTCCTCCCCGACGCACGAATACAGAGAGAAGGAGCAACTCCACCTGAACCAGAAAGCGCGCCCTCCCCAGGACAAGACCGCGCTGGCGCCTGGATCCCAGGCCTCCCAGCCCAGGAGCTGCAAGAAAACCAACTTCTTTTGTTTTGTGGAATTTTGTTACAGGAGCCCAAACAGGCTAGCAGAGCCATGCAAGTGTTCAATAGTTACACGATACATGTAACTGATAAACTGAGCAAGTGAATACACAGGATATAGTCAAAATGCTGCTTTTTTACAGTTATTCCGTGAAGATCACCTTCCTTGACCGTGAAGGTCGCCATATGGCTTCCTCTTCTGGTAAGATGGCTCTTCCCTGATTACTCGTCCCCTTCTCACCCCCCTAGAGCCTGGAAGACATAAAATGGGTTCTTTTGCCTCTTCTTTGTATTTTGTATATATATATACATCATCATATATATCTCATCATATATATCTTGTCACCTTCATTGCAATACTAGATCTACAGCACATATGCCACAGGCTCATCAAGACAGGAAGAATACTAACTTAGCATCTTACTGCAGATACATGAGCTCATTCAAACCATTCAGTCACCTGACGAAGTGGAAACTCTCATCTCCACTGCAGCAATAAGAAAACTGAGATTTACGGACGCTAAAAATGTTGTGTGGGGTCACAGCATGCTGGAGACAACCATGGCTGAGCCCTTGGTTGGCAGTGGTGAGCCTTGGCAAATAAAGGCATTGATAAATACTGCAGATTAAGGCTAATGGAGGAAAATGCCTATGCTACATTCATAGACATTGAGGATGAGATTATTTATAAATGAAAAGAAAATAGGGCTGCATGTATCGGATGACAGCTCCCATGTTTCCACATGAAGACACTGAACCCCAACTTCAGAGGTGGCTAAATTCCAGGTGGCCACCTAAGCGCCCAGAAGATAATTCCTGAGAAAGGGAGACAGTGGCCAGAGAGAGTAAGTGCCTCTCATCACACTAGCTGCCTTCCTCCACTCACCCACACCAGCGGTCATGTTTCTTTCATAATCTGCTGTTACTGTAAATAATTCTGAGCTTCACTTCTACTTTCATGCCCATTGTGATTTATTACACACATGCAAGTGGAGCTAGTGGAGACCCTTTCTCTATAGAGTAGGAAAATATACATATATATCTATATCCATCCTCATAAGGGGTTTTATGCACACCAATTAAGCATATCCACTTACTTAACACTTTCCTTATGACTTAGGGGAAAAAAATACATGTTCACAAAACACAATATTGAGGCATGAGAGGCAGCGAAAGTCTATACATCATCTGAGTGCACTTTATAAACATCAATGCTGAGCTGAAAAAGCCAAATTCACTCCCCCTACACTCCAAAGACACCTATTACCAGTTGAATTATAGTAATAATAGCAACAGAATAAACTTTTAAAATTGTTCCCAAATATAGCGTAAGATCGTATATATATGATCTTATGCTTTATATATATATATATATATATATAAACAAAGATATAGAAGAAGAGAAGGGGGTGGAGGGAGATAGGATGGACTCACCTGCATGCAGTTTGCAGGCACAGAAAATGAGGAAGTGATTCTTTTTATACAACATAATATTAACATAATTTAGCCATTCTAAATTATTATTTATCTATAAATTCTAAAGCAAGGCAAAAATGTAAGAATAGTCAATCATCTCAAAACAGAAATTCATTAAGAAAAACAGAGTCCCAGACAGCTCAGTGGTGTCCGACGCTTTGTGACCCCATGGAGTGTAGCTCACCAGGCTCCTCTATGGAATTCTCCAGGCAAGAATACTGAAGTGGGTTGCCATTTCCTTCTCCTTGGACTGTAATAGGTAAAATGGAATTTGTACCCCAAATGTACTACAGAAACACTATATATAACATGCGCATGACAGACACTTTGTGAAGGAACTTTTCCACAAACTATAAGATTCACTTGAAACTTGAAAAGACAGTCTCTGTTACTAAAGATTACACCACTAAAGTGTAACAAAAAGGTACATATACTTCTACCAGGCAAATAAACCCACTCCCTGAAAATAACTTAAAAACACAAGAATACTAAATTTCCCGGAATGAGAGGAACCAACGTCCTGAAAAACTCTTGTAACTCATTGGGCGCCTGTGGTGACGTTTCTAAACTCCACATCCAAAAATAAAAGGAAACAAAACACTAAAACCTTCCATTTGTTGGGAGACTGACTGGAGCATCCCAAGCCCCACTTTTCTTCCCTACTTTTACTGAGACTTAATTGACATACAGCTTCCCTGAGAGCTCAGATCCCCCAGAGAAGGGAAAGGCTACCCACTCCAGTATTCTTGGGCTTCCTTTGTGGCTCAGCTGGTAAAGAATCCGCCAGCAATGGGGGAGACCTGGGTTCGAACCCTGTATGCGCGCACCCTGAGCCCAGCACACGCGCCTCTGAGCAGGCTCGCGAATCCCAGAGCCCTGCACACACACACCCAGGCCCCAGCGCGTGCCTCAGATCTCTGCACACGGGCCCCGAGTCCCACGCTTCGCTCATCCCTTGGTCGCACCTCGGACCAAGGTTAGGAAAATGCCCTGGAGAAGGGAAAGGCTACCCACTCCAGTATTCTGGCCTAGAGAATTCCATGGACTGTTTAGTCCATGGGGTCGCAGAGAGTCGGACACGACTGAGCGACTTTCACTTTCCATGGAAGTTTAAGGTGTACCCCTAACCACCTGCGGATTTCCAGGGAGCTCAGTGGCAAAGAATCCACCTGCCAGTGGAGGAGACCCAAGAGATGTGGGTTCGATTCCTGGGTCTGGAAGAGCCCCTAGAGTAGGAAAAGGCAATCCACTCCAGTACTCTTGCCTGGAAAATCCATTGACAGGGGAGACTGGCAGGCTATACAGTCCATGGCACAGCAAAGAGTCACACTGCTGAGCGACGTGTGAACTTAAACTAACCATCAGACATACAGAGGAGGCCAGAAGACTACCCCAGGAAGTTTAGTTAACATTTCTGTCTTCATCCGGTTACCAAAATAAATAATTTTCTTGTGATGAGAACGTTTAGGATTTGCCTCCTTAGCGTGTTTCTAATCTACCATAAAGCAGTGGTAACTACAGTCACAGTCACCGTGTTAGACATTACCAGCTAATGTAAACCCTGCAGGCGCGCACCCTGAGTGCACAGCACACGCGCCAAGCTTGCGAATCCGGAGCCCCGCACACACGCCCCCAGCTCCGAGAGTATATCTCGGATCCCAGCATACACGCCCCCAGCCCGGAGCGCGCACCTCGGATCCCAGTTCACTAGCCCCCAGTCCCCAGCGTATATCTCAGATCCCAGGACACACACCCCCAGCCCCGAACGCACTTGTCGGATCCCAGCACGTGAGTCCCCAGCCCGGAGCGCGCACCTCGGATCCCAGCACACACACCCCTAGCCCCGAGCGTGTATCTCGGATCCCAGCACACGCCCCCAGCTCGGAGCGCGCACCTCGGATGCCCGCAGGAGCGCCCCGTTCCCACCCACCCCGCCAGCCCCGCCCGCGCCCAGAGCCCGCGCGCGCCGCTCGCTCACCCTTCTCGCTGACGCTCTCGCTCTCCAACTCCACGTCCTCGCAGCTCGTGTACTCCGGCGTGGACACACCCTCTTCTTCCGAGCTGCTCACGGACATCTGGCGCCGCTTGCCGCCCCTCTTGGCGCGGTGCGGCTTGGGCGGCGACGGCCTCACCGACTCGGACTGGTCGGAGCTGAGCGAGTCGTTGCGCAGCATGGTCTCCACCTTCTCGCGCTTGGCCTTGCGCACCAGGACGGCCGAGCCGGGGTCCAGGCGGCTCTGCTTCCGGAGCGGCTCCGGGGCCCTGGGCTCCGGGACCTCCGCGGGGCCTGGGCCGGGCCGGGGCGCCGGCGGGCTGGGACGCTCGTGCCGGGCGCGGGACACCCGCGCGTGCATGCGCATCTGCTGCTCCTCGGGCGGCGGCTGGACCGGGTACCGCGCCAGGTTCGGGTCGCTGCGGTACCGGGTCTGGTACTCCTCCTCCTTCCGCTGCTTCTCCGCTTCCGCCGCCGGGCCTTCCTCGCGTTTCTCCGGCACGACGGAGTAGTCCTGGGACCGGCCTTTCTCCAGCCTTCGGCTTTCCCGCCTTTCCTTACGCTCCCGTTCTTCCGCGGGCGCCTCTACGGGAGGCGCCGAGGTCCTGGGCGCGCGTTTGCGCTCGCCCTTCGGGGCGCCTTTGCCATTCTGCTCCGCCAGCCCTGGCGTCTTCTTCCTGGGATGCACAAAAGAACGTGAAGAAGGAGAATCTCGTGTAAACTCAAGGCGAGGACCAGACCCCAGAAGAAGCATCCTTGGAAATAGTTATCCTTCGATGTCTAATTAAAAAGCGAGATGTTAAAAGAGGCGCATTAAACCTGTATGCCTGAGTAGCTTTCTAAATAGGGCTCCTTTGAGTTACAAGATATTCAGCGTCTTCACAACTGGCTTTAAGATTTTTAAATTCTCTATCGTAACTGATAGAGATAACAGATCATTTTAAAAATCAATAAATTAATGCAGTAAAGAAACAAGTTTTATGCTGACCTCTGCTTGTGAACCAAAGCCTTTAACATGTTCTAGATAAAAATAATATAGGTAATAATAAGTTAGGATAAACCCAATAGATAAATATCAGTTCAAAAATTTATACCTGACATATATTTGGGCAATATATATTAATCTCTTATTGTAATTGAAACGTTCAAGGAAACGTGAATACAAGTATGTCCATTTCAGAAATTAACTCTACTAGCACTTCCGTTGTAGAACAAAAGTAATTTTTAAGAGATCATGTGCAGTCCAACACTTTTTAGGGAATTGGTTAGAAAAAAAAAAATGGTTGAAGCCTAGCCTTCATTTTACCTTCCCCAGCAAAAATAGAAATGCTGACATTTTGAGATTATTATTCATTTTTCCTCCCCCGCCAGGCCTTCTCCCTCATTCCAACATGCAGAGCACAGGTACCATGTTCAATATCCTATAATAAATCATAACAGAAAAGAGTATTTGTTTGTGTTCTACTTTGCTCTCCATCTTGTAGGAGGCACTGGCAAAGAAAAAATAAAGGAAAAGTGTTTCACAGTCTGAATACTTAAATTGCATTGTTTAAGATGCCCCTGGAGAAGGTGATGGCAACCCACTCCAGTACTCTTGCCTGGGAAAGCCCATGGACAGAGGAGCCTGGTAGGCTACAGTCCATGGGGTCGCTAAGAGTCCAATAGGACTGAGCGACTTCACTTTCACTTTTCATTTTCATGCACTGGAGAAGGAAAAGGCAACCCACTCCAGTATGCTTGCCTGGAGAATCCCAGGGACGGGTGACTGGTGGGCTGGCATCTATGGGGTCACACAGAGTCGGACACGACTGATGTGACTTAGCAGCAGCAGCAGCAGCAAGATACCCCATGCCGCCCTTTTCTGAACATTGTAGTCCACCTGCGTTGGGAAGCTCTCAGCAAAGACACCAGAAGTTACAGAAAGGGGATGCCTTAGCAAAGTATTCAGATACTATATGCTCCACTGCGCAGTTAAAATGGAGACAGGCTCTTTCTGGAATCCTTAGATCCATAGAAAGGGCTTTCCAGAGAGAACTGGAATTCCAAAGCAGACTTCACGAACAAAAACTGAGAATAATATGCAAGATGCAGAAAAGTAGAGCAGTTTCTATTGTCCATTAACAAAGTAGTAATTGCTAAAATATGTTGTGGGATCAGTCTATGCAGGGGCTGGTGATAATGGCAAGAAAGGGTCAAGGGTTTCCAATGACACAAAAGCAAAACAGAAGCGTGGTCAACTCTGCTTGAGGCATTTAGATTACTTGCTCTTTTGAAGTGGGAGAGATTTTCATGGAGGGTGTGGTTTCATAGGTAGCATTGCTGTTTTCCAGTATAAGAATGCAGTGTTTTCTGGTGCTATGAATGCAGTCATCATAATTAGAGTTTTCATAAAAGTGAAATGAATGTACCGCAAACCTCAGTAGCTCATTAAATCATGTTTGCCCTTGTTGGAAGTTTCTATGGAGTCGATCTTTTTGTTGTTGAAATGCTGATCAATGATGCTTACCTTGCAGAGTTCATGTGCAGATTAAAGGAGACAGCATCTGTGAAGATGCTTTATGAAATGATAGCCTTATATGCAAATGGGACTCTTCTCCTGTCTCTTTGATTCTTGTCTTCGAAATAGGCCTTTTCTCACCTCTAATGTTTCCATCCCCACTAGCTCCTGAAGAGTGTACAAATTAGGATCAAAAAGATTAAGATCTTGTTTCCAAAAGAAATATGTATCCCAGTGTTCACTGCAGCACTACTTACAATAGCCAGGACATGGAAGCAACCTAAATGCCCATCAACTGTTGAATGGATGAAGAAGATGTGGTACATATAATATACAATGAATGGAATATGGTGATAAAAAGGAACAAAATAACAGTAATAAAAAGGAAGAAAACAATGTCATTTGCAGCAACATGGATGAGACTAAAGATTGTCATACTAGTGAAGTAAGTCGGGAAGAGAATAATAAATTTGGTGTGTCATCACATGTATGTGGAATCTAGAAAAATGGTACAGGTGAACCTATTTGCATGGCAGGAATAGAGAAACAGACATAGAGAACAGAACTTGTGGACACAGTGATGGAAGGAGAAGTGAACTGAAGTGAAGCTCAGTCATGTCCGACTCTTTGTGACCCCATGGACTATACAGTCCATAGAATTCTCCAGGCCAGAATGCTGGAGTGGGTAGCCTTTCCCTTCTTCAGGGGATCTTCCCAAGCCAGGGATTGAACCCAGGTCTCCCGCATCACAGGCGGATTCTTTCCCAGCTGAGCCACAAGGGAAGCCCAAGAATACTGGAGTGGGTAGCCTATCCCTTCTCCAGCGGATCAGGATTCCTGACCCAGAAATCGAACTGGGGTCTCCTGAATTGCAGGGGGACTCTTTACCAACTGAGCTATCAGGGAAGGAGACGGTGGGGCAAATTGAGAAAGTAGCCTTGACATGCACACACCCACGTGTAAAACAGATGGCTAGTGGTGGAGGGAGAGAGCGGGACGAATTGAGAGGCTAGCCCGGACGTACACACACTCCCGTGTGTGAAACATAGCTCGTGGGAAGGGGCTGGGTAGCTCAGTGCTCCGTGATGACCTAGGGAGTGGAATGGAGGGTGGGAGGGGGGCCACAGAAGGAGGGGTTTATCTGCACATATAACTGATTTACTTTGTTGTATCAGAAACTAACACAGCACTGAAAAGCAATTGTACTCCAATAATAAAATTTTAAAAATAATGAAATATAAAACAAGACAGCCAGCCACTCCTCCAGTCTCAGCTTATTCTCTGAAGGGCCCTGACTACCAACCAGCTCCCCTTCTTCCTTCTCCTCCAACCCCAACGTCCTCACTGTGGTCCTCAGTATTTATATAATCAGCAAGTCATTTATATCATCACAAAAGCTATTTGCCCTTATTAGTCTTTTTCAAATTTCATCAAAAAGCCTCTCCTTGGTGCCTACTCTCAACTTCATTGTAGTTTTTCACAGTTCATTATAAGTAGGATGCAAATTTTCTCTTTGGAAACCCTATACCTCCAAACTCTTCCTCTCCTTTAAAAGAAATCCTTTTCTGACCAATCCTGAGCTGCCCTTTCAGCATCTTTTCTCTCCTTAACTCACAGCACTTTGTCACCATGCTGCAAGTCCGGCCATCACTAGGGTGGCTCTGATATCTTGCCATCATGGTCTCTCCTATTTTGCCTGCCCATCCCACAACTTCTGGGTGTCCTGTCTGCCTGTGTTCAGAAAGCACTCCTCTTTCCTGTGGCCTCCAAAGGACTTGAGTTTGTATTGTCTAGCTCTGATCATGTCAGCCCTCTGGCCCAGCTCACTGCCCGGGGCTCTGTCTTCCCTAGGGGATGGCGTGGTCTCTTTCCCAGGATCTGAATGAAAAGGGAATAAGCGCCAGTCATCTTTATGCCCTCTGGCTCCTGCAGTGTTCTCTAATGGTAAACACATGGTGCCTACTGTCTGCAGTCACGAGAGGCCTCCCATGAGCCTGCTGCTGAGCACAGGTGCTCCCCCAGGCCTCCAAGGTGCCCGTGAGAATCCCTGGTGACAAAGCCAGGCCTGGAATCCGGATCAGCTCAGCTTTGAAGTCTTTGAGCATATTATGGGAGTTTGGTTTGACAAGGAGAACAGAAACTTTCCTTAGCTCCTACCCTCGGATCCTGTCCTCCCACCCAGTGGAATAAATAAGGGTCCTACAGACGAAAGCAGGCATACCTAGTGCTAACTGTCGGGTGTCCCAAACTCCCAGCCTCGGGAAGAAAAGGGCTGTATTCCGCCTTGTTAATGCTGTCCCCACCTATTGCATACCATCCTGTCTGGTCATAAATACACGCTTTTGACTGAATGATAAGGTAGACAAATTGAAATTAATAAGCTGATCATGTGAGCCCAAGTTTACAAGCCTCCATTGCATTCCATTGTTTTCACAATAAAGTCTGTGAAATTGAACCTGGCTAAAAGGCCCAGTGGGACCTGGCCGCTCAGACCTCACTGTCATCCCCTGCTCCCCCATCTCCAACTCACCCTCCAGCCAAGAGCATCCACTGGGTTGTCCCACTGTTCCTTCTGGCCGGACACCCGTGCACCCATCCCTCGCTTCACCTGGCTCATCTCTAGTCACCTTCAAAGCT